CTTCCTCCCCTGCGGCCCCCCAGCCCAACGCCGTCCTCCCCTGCGCCCCCCTAGCCTAACGCCGTCCTCCCCTGCGGCCCCCTAGCCCAATGCTGTCTTCCCCTGCGGCCCCCCTAGCCCAACACCGTCCTCCCCTGCGGCCCCCTAGCCTAACGCCGTCCTCCCCTGCGGCCCCCTAGCCTAACGCCGTCCTCCCCTGCGGCCCCCCAGCCCAACGCCGTTCTCCCCTGCGGCCCCCTAGCCCAACGCTGTCCTCCCCTGCGGCCCCCTAGCCTAACGCCGTCCTCCCCTGCGGCCCCGCCTAGCCTAACGCCGTCCTCCCCTGCGGCCCCGCCTAGCCTAACGCCGTCCTCCCCTGCGGCCCCCCAGCCCAACGCCGTCCTCCCCTGCGGCCCCCCAGCCTAACGCCGTCCTCCCCTGCGGACAGCACATTTTTTTCTCGCCGCCTTCACTACTTTTTCTACACCTACTAGTTTACGGTTTGGCTAAAATATTTCTGGCTGCTTAGGTAGGTAGGACTTCCAACATCTACGTCAATTCTTCATCCCGAGGTTACAGTCGTCATCCCGAGGTTACAGTCGTCACAGTCGCCACGGACGCCTTTCGGTCAGTTCTTTCGGTTGCTACTATCTTGCCCTGGCAGCAGCTTCAATCGCGTGTGGTTCGTCTTCCTCCCCTGCGGCCCCCCAGCCCAACGCCGTCCTCCCCTGCGGCCCCCTAGCCTAACGCCGTCCTCCCCTGCGGCCCCCTAGCCCAATGCTGTCTTCCCCTGCGGCCCCCCTAGCCCAACACCGTCCTCCCCTGCGGCCCCCTAGCCTAACGCCGTCCTCCCCTACGGCCCCCCTAGCCTAACGCCGTCCTCCCCTGCGGCCCCCCAGCCCAACGCCGTCCTCCCCTGCGGCCCCCTAGCCTAACGCCGTCCTCCCCTGCGGCCCCCTTGCCGTACGCTGACCTGCCCTACGTGGACGCTGCGGGGGGCGGATGAGGGAATGGCGGCGCTGCGCTTGGCGGCGCAGGGGAGGGCGGTGTTGGGCTGGGCGACGCAGGGGGGGGGCGGCGCTGCGGGGGCCGGATGAGGGAAGGGCGGCGCTGTGCTGGGCGGCGCAGGGGAGGGCAGCGTTGCGCTGGGCAACGCAGGGGGAGGCCGGCACTGCGGGGGGCGGATGAGGGAAGGGCGGCGCTGCGCTGGCGGCGCAGGCGAGGGCAGAAGGGAGGGCAGATGGGAGGGGAAGGGAGTCCTTGATGTGTTGGAGTACAGCACATAGACAATGGCAAAAGCCATCACCAATGACAATAACTCAACCCAAAAGGCCCCTGTCATATTTAAAATTTAGCCGGTGGCTCCCCCCTGGTTTCACTTGACATTCACAGACAAGACATTTTCAGTTCCACACCTAAACGGCTATCTGCAGTCACACACAACCTGCAGAGGCTGCCGGTTTGCCAGGCTTTGCCGGTGATGCAAACGCGCGATTTTAAGGAATGATGATGGGCCGTTACAAATAAGCCTTTGCTGCAATAGCTTTTTGCTTACATAGCGCACATGAAATGTTTCACAGGCCATCGAGAAGCCTAAACAAGTCTATCCTTCTGGTGTACGACCGAGCGTTGAAGTGTTTCCTGGATAAGCCTTATGGCCTCGCAAAGTATTGCGCACATCCACGGTTAATGCCAGCTCGCAAAGCAGCATATATAGGGGTGCTTTGCGCCCTGGTATGCACGCTATTAACCCACACACCCTGCACCCTCGTGACGTGCACCCTGCACGGATCTGCATTCAACTACCGCTTGGAGTGATGCCCCAACCGCACAATCAGCACCTCCAAGCAGCAACACACAAAGTTCAAGCAAGGGCCAAGGCACTGCAAAATAATGTGTGGTGGCACTGCGTTGTATCCTCTGTAGATGCTGTGCATGTACATGAGCATTATTGCTTGTGTGACCCATGGGCTTCTCTCCATGCGGACGCGGACGCGTGTATGTATGTATGTATGTATATGTATGTATGTATGTATGTATGTATGTATGTATGTATGTATGTATGTATGTATGTATGTATGTATGTATGTATGTATGTATGTATGTATGCAGTGTTTATTTTTTTGGTAATATATTACTTTTTTGGGAATAAATGGGGGTCTGAGCCTGGAAGAAATGGAATAATTGGTCAGTTGGCCGTACTGGTTCATTACTTCGGCCATAAGTCGCCCCAAATGCCTTCTCCACAGATAAAGCTGAACATCTGGAGCTTATACACTATTTATATATAAAATATTTGATGATATCACCATGAGACGGCCCGCTGTTGCATTCAACTTAGGTCAACGGGGCATTCGTTCATTCTTGACCAAAGCAAAGGGCTCAGAAAGTCCGCAGACGCAATGCCCCAAACATTTAGAAGAAGAATTAGATAATAGAGAAGACAAGGATAGGCACTTCGTAGTTGCCGCTCATGAAGTCAGTGAATCCAGCGATTTGAGCGAAGTCGGCGGCTGGTGCAATGCAGTGGTGTTGATGGTGCCGACAGTGTACATATATATAACTTCGCCTTCGCGTGCTCACGACGTTTATGGACAGTCAAAGTGGCTCCGCGCCCTGCTCACAGAGACACTGGCGCAAATGCAGTTAGGTGCACAGAACGATGGTGGTACGGCATGTGTGTTTCCAGACGTCAGGTGTTGTTTACAGCACACCGTACAGCCTTTGAGGGGGGGGTCTGGGGGGGGTCTGGGGGGGGCGCAGCCCCCCCCAGCGACTATACAAAAAGGAATTGTATCTGCAAGAAACACCCAGTTTATTACTCTAGGGTATTAGGCCCCAAACGAAAAAAAAACACTGTATGTATGTATGTATGCCGCCTCTTCCCCTACATGCTCAAAACATGCGTGGAAGACGACAACACCAGATCACCACGATAAATCAGTTATGTCGTTTGTGGAGGCATCCTCGATTTGGAATATTGTAAAGGTATCATTCTCTACCGGCCTCTTCCGTTGTCCCCCTTTCCTCCCCAGCACCCCACACCCCCTCTTTTTCCCCTCCCTGTTCCCTACACTTGCTTTGCCTGTACCTCTGATGATTGATGAGATGCATCATATGATCCGGCACTCAGCTCTCAGCAAAATGTTTGACCGACATGAGTGGGGCCCCTATCATAACCATGCACATCTCCTACCATTCCTCCACCGTTTGCTCCTACCAACCCACTACACTACACAACGTACCCCCCCCACACACATGGCTCCACTACTGCCAGGTCTTCCCTCCTCCCCATTGCTATAGGTCTTCTCCTCTTTACACATCTTCCCCCTCTCCCCCATGGGTGCCATCACACCACCCATCAGCATGGCCTTGCTGCTATCTTTTATCATTCTGCTTTTGCTTGCACAGCTGCTGTTGCTGCTGTTGCTGCTTCTGCTGCTGCTGCTGCTGCTGCTGCTGCTGCTGCTGTCGCTGCTCCTTCTGTAGCTGCTTCCGTTGCTGCTTCTGCAGCCGCTGCTGTTGCTTCTTCAGCCGCTGCTCCTGCTGCTGCAGCCGCTGCACCTGCTGCTGCAGCAACTGCTGCTTCTGCTGCAGCCGCTCCTGCTTCTGCTTCTGCTTCTGCTGCCAATGCCGCCACACAAGCCCTGTCTCCTCCTCGTTGCTGCTGGGGTCACCATGATCATCACCCCCGCAGGTCCGTAGTATGTGCTGGCCCATGCTGCACTTCTGTTTCTTGGACAATGATGCTTGAATTCCCCCTGACCCGAGGTGTGGTCGCTTGCCTGGAGTTTCGTTGCAACTGTGGCAGCGCTTGCCAAGCCTCAACAGCTGTGGTGGCTGCTGCACTGGCAGTCGTCGTGGCAGCAGCAAGGGTGGGCACATCAATTGGCTGCCGTTGATGTTGCCATGGCCACTGCTGCAGCTGTTGTTGGCTGGCTGCCTGTGCTGCTGCTGCAGTGGCAGCTGCACTTCCTCCTTGTCATCGTTGTCCTCCTCCTCCGCCTCCTCCGCCTCCTCTGCCTCCTCAGCCTCCTCAGCCTCCTCAGCCTCCTCAGCCTCCTCAGCTTCCTCAGCCTCCTCAGCCTCCTCAGCCTCCTCAGCCTCCTCCGCTTCCTCAGCCTCCTCCGCCTCCTCCGCCTCCTCAGCCGCCTCCGCCTCCTCCTCAGCCGCCTCCGCCTCCTCCTCAGCCGCCTCAGCCTCCTCAGCCTCCTCAGCCTCCTCAGCCTCCTCCTCCTCCGACGGTAGGGCACATGACGCCGTACGACCAAGGTGCATCCGCGTGTGCATTGTCCGTACGTCTGACTTTTTTACTGTGTACGATATGACCCCCTAGTTCGGCGTCGGCATGGCACGATACGAGCTGCATGTACGGACGCTAGCTTTCCGTACGAAGCTGTCGTTTAGTACGCGCAAAACCCCACAGCCATGTAGCAGGTCAGCGGTTGTTGGCCCCCAGGCGTGCGAATGAGGGAGGGAGTGGGGGTGGATACCGCGCCGTTTGCTGTTCCTGCAGTCACTCCCTCTTCCTCTTCCTCGTTGTCATTAGTAGTGGCATTAGTCGCAGCAGCATGCACTTCATCATGCACATCATCATCATCATCGTCATCATCATTGTCCTGCTGCCGACCAGTACTGGCAAGCCACCCACTGGGCATATACATACATACGTGAATTCGCTCCCTCAGAACTGTTTCTGAAACCCTGCCTTGGCCCTGTACGGCGTTGCCGTATCGGCGGTTGCCGCGTTGCTCTTGTTGCGGTGTACTGCATGTTGCGGGTGTTGCTGATTTCACCTTAGACTGTACAATGGAGTTTTTTTCAGCTGTTAAGATCCGAAACATTTGTACGGCACTTTAAAGCGATCTCGTCTCCCGCTGCGCTGACGTGTTTTGCTGTATTCTGTTAGTGAGCTTCAAGCCCCACGCTTGCGACTGTTGTATGAACTTCCTATCCTGGCATTGCGAGCTTCATTGTGCGTGCGTGCATGCGCGGTTTGCGTGCATGTTTAGTTGTGTCTGTTGTGTACATGAATGCGATAATCGAGCGCTTCTCTCTCTCTCCTCTGCTTTGCTCGCTTCGTTTATCGCGTCCACCCTTGCTCTGCTTGGCACCACCCCAGATGCGGTGGGTGGTATGGATCGCGCACAAATCCAATATGGCAAAACATGTCCAGGTTGTACGGCATGTACTGCTTTCTAACCCCCACTGGGACATTAAAACGATTACCACCACTGGGGTTGTGGGTTTGTGTTTATGTGGGTTTGGGCGGATGCTGATTAAGGTCCGAGATTCGCGCGCTGAATTGGTGGCGGCTGCGGATGTCTTTGTCTCTGCGGATGTTCGGTTGATGGTATTCATTTTTAGATGTGACAACGCGAATGTCTTCCATGGGCTCTGAAGCTTCCCACTCTGTAACACCCCATTAGCAACAACGACAACAACGACAACCGGTCAAAGATGGCGCTCCGAAAGCAACTCCGAAGATGTCAGGAGGCGGACAGTTAGTGAATCAGTCACTGTTGGACGATGAAGTTTTCGGAGTCGAAGCAGTGCCTTTTGAGCGTGCACATGCAACCAACGTAAGAGCATAGCTTCTCCAGACTACCTGCACCCCCCACAGTTTTGTCTGCACATTGCCTTCCTGTGAAGGGTTCCTTACCTCCCTCCCGACCCGCGATGATGACGAGGCCGTGTCCGGCGATCTCTCTCTCTCCAGACGAGGCGTGTGAATACCGCGAACAGCCCCACCAAGGGCGTGGTTGCGAGACAAGTGCCGTGGTTAAGCAGTCGCAGTTGAGTCCACTCGGGCCCCACCGGCTCCTCCCCCACCGGGCTCCACCACCATCGCCTCTCGTAGAATGGCCGGATGATGTGAACTGTGCTCGAGGCACACACTGCACCGCACCGCACCACACTGTTGTGCACAAGAAATTCTGCAACATGGAGGGAGGGAGGGAGGGAGGCTGGGCCACCCCGTAGAGGACTGCGGCATCCTCACGACCATCACCAGCAACAGCAACAGCAGCATTATCAGCAGCAACAGCAGGAGCAACAGCAGGAGCAACAGCACCACACCAGCAGGAGCAGTAGCAGGAACACCAGCAGCAGGATTGTCGTACCGTATCCATGCTGCTGGATGCGGGAAAATTTGCCTTTTGAAGATGGAGGAAAAAACTTCCCATGGACTTGTACGAGTGCCGTACAAAACATCTGCCCATGTCAAGCATTTTCTCAGGCACACAAGCCTCGCAAACACACACCGGCCGGAGCTCGGCTTCTCCATCCCAGCTCATCCGGACGCCAATCACATCAATTACGATCTATAATAACCCTTGTGCACCATCGCTAAAGATGCTCTTCCCCCCCAGGCAGCTCAACCCGTCTAGTGGTGTTGTTCACATGTCCGTTTCCGTACTGGTGACTCCGTAAACTTGCCATCATCCGTTCTCCTGTGCATCCCCCAAACCTATTTTACAGAAGTTGAGGAAAAGGGCCCTTCGTAAAAGAGGCACAACTGGCACACACTCAGCCGCGCTGGATTCTCTGGATCCCGCGCTTCCCATACGAAGCCGCAGCCAAATCCGCCGGGGTTTTTAACGGGGTTACTTCTTGAGTGGACGCCGTTCCGTTGTTTCCTAAACGTGATAGGAAGTTGCAACAGGGGGCACTACGGAGTCTTGTGCTTGTGTCCTTGCCATGGCTAACCGTACAGGCGCCGTACGAAGTATCAGTACAAACATTGCGTACGAAACCAATCCTAGATGTAATTTGTAATTGTTTACGATGGGGGGTGCAGCTATTCTCTTTTATTATAACAATAATATAACAATGTCATGGCGTTTTCCCTGAGCTTCGCATCCTAGCTCTGAAGGTGCAGTCCAAATGCCTATTTGTTTGATCTAGCGGATGCCCAAAGAACTATGGCGGACGGTGGAGGATTCTTCCAAGCCAGCGGCTGTGAAACGTGCGGAAATCTCAGCTTTAGTTCCGAGTGGTATCAGGCTTTCGGTGTGGTACTTTGCAATCACTGCAAACGAAATGAGTCACTTATTTCAAAGGTATGCAAAACATGAACGCCTGCTCTGATTTATAAACGTTCGATGCCTAAAAGCGAATGATGCCGGAGCAGGGCAATGCGATGAACCTGTACTGCTTGACTGCGAGAGATTTACAGGGCCTCGGTTGCATAACAAAGGTAAGGAATTGCGATGCCCGGGTGCAAGTTAAGCATTCCTCTTGTGTTAATGCCCTTCCTTTGGTGTCATGTCATCGTAAAAGTTTGTGGGTAGCAGTGCAAGTATCTCTGGACGGGGCATACGCGACGGCAGGGTGCAGCCGTATTTGCGTTCTGGAAGTATGCCGCCAGAACATGCTGCCAACATTTCTCGAAAGAGTGGAAAATACCGGCGCGTGAATCGGTCTTCACCGCTTATTCCGCCTCCCTGTACTCACCCCTCCTAATCCAGGACAACCCCCAGAAGAAAACCTGGAGCGCCATGAAGCTCTACCTTCGGAGGCAGGCGAGTAAGGGCTGCATGCATGAGTGACCCACGGGTCTGTGAACCGTCACGCTCCCTCCTGCTGGAGAGGGACGTCTCCGCCCACATTGCGGATTCTTCCCTTCGCACATAGAGGGCGGTAGAAATGGGCAGTTTCCTAACGCGGTCGGCGTTCGGCGGACAACAACCCGTTGGATGGTCTCCCCACTCGGCTATGTGCTCGTCCCGCTCGTCCCCCGGCCCTACCGGAAAGCGCATGCATATCGTACACTGGAATATTTCCTACGTGAGCATCCTGACCTCAGCCTCGGGACTTGACAGACAGACAGTGAAAGGGACAGACGCACCGGCGGTCGGTCGGTGATGCACGCAGGTTGAGGAGCGGGCGTGCAGGAAGCACGGCGACCTGGACACCGTACGGCAGTTACGTCATGATCGCACTCAGGTGCGCCCGCCGGGGGCCCTCCATCCTGGGGTTGCGCTCCACTGGGGGGTATCCGTACACTCACTGACTGACGTGTGAGACGCAACTGGTGTGTCCCGGGATATGTGAGAGAGCGAGGGGAGGAGGGGAAGGCGAAACATTGAAAAGGAGTCCGTTGCAATGTCCGTTGACGTCCTGTCTAGGATACAATATACGTTTTAAGATACAACAAAGAAGAGGGCGCAATGCCTCCCGTCATGGGGCATCAAAGTGTGCCGCAGGGCATCGTGCTGTGTTTTTTCCGTACATCCACGTGGGAGCAGCGCCCGCTGACATCGCTTTTTCCCTTCCACCCTTGATTCCCCCTTAAACCGGGCGGGGGTGATTTCGGCGTTGGGAACCCCCCTGTTTCGCCGCCTGGCGAAGGCCAAGGCGGAGGGCTGGCTGGCGAAAAGGGCCCGTGGTGGGGGCCCTGCTGAGGATGATGGAGACGAGGAGGAGGTCGAGGGGGAAGACGAAGGAGCGGAGGTTGCGGGCACTGAGCGGGAGGGGGGGGGGAGGGGAGGGGCGACCCGCGTGAAGCTGAGCGCCGTCGCGGCGCGTGTGAGAGCGCGACTGGCTTCGGAGTACGAGTCGGGGGCTGCGGGGCGACAGGCGAATACGGGTGCGTGTGTGTGCGTGCTGACTAGCTGGTGGTGTTGCTGCCTCAGCGACGGCCGCGGTGTCGAGAGCAGGACATATCCGGGGCGTGGAAGGGGCTGAGATGCTGCCTGTCTTGTCCACCCATCAGTTCCAACTAAAGGGCGGATATACTTGTTTTGTAATATGTGTGCGTGTGTGTGAGTGTGTTACACCTCGGTTGCGTTACCCAGATAGAGAGGTGTAGCCGAGCCCAATATTGCAGTAATGCACTTGCACTTTGCGTTTGTGTGGTGTATGTTGGGATAGATAATATCCTTGCTAGTACAGTGTACAATGCTGGGTGCTGGGTGCCATGTATCACAACACGCCGCAGTGCTGTCGGATCGTGTTTCCGGAAGTACCCCCGCACCGCCACTCCGCATGTGGGCATCCACATGCCGTGATGAGGGAAACGGCTGACGAACTGAAGCACGCCTTGCGAACGTTCTTCCATGCGGTCGTAGCTTCCCCAGTTCCCCGGCTCTCAGCCCGGGGGGGGGAGGCTCTGGATCGCGGGTGGGCGGGTGTTGCCGTCCACATCTCTCGCTCTCCCAACTCACTCGGGGTGCTTTCCTCCCCCCTTGCGCGGCCCTACGAAGGAAACAGCAACGCGGGCGGCAGTGTCAGCGGGGCCGGTAGCGGGGGCGGTGCAGGCGGGGGCGATGCCGCTGACGGTGGTGATGTGGAGGTGGAAGTGTTCTGACTCCACCTCCCCCCGGAGACCCCCCCCGGAGTACATCCGCTCTCTCGAAGGTCCTTGAGAGCGCCGACGACATCGTAATGGCCGCCACCGAAGTGGTCGGCTTCAACAGCAAAAGGCGGCATCAGCAGCGGAGGACGACGAGCAGAAGCTGTAGCAGTAGCTCAGGAGGATCAGCTGCAGTAGCAGTAGCAGTCCGAGCACCGGTGGTAGGAAGTCCCAGTCCCAAGTCTTGCTCCAATCCCACCCCCGACAGGTGTGTGTGACTGTGGGGGGGGGCTGTGTGGACCTCTCACCATCAGGGGGCGCGAGGGGGAGGGCCATCTGGGGGGGGGGCGCACCTGCGCTGCCGCAGTAGCAATAGCAGTAGCAGGTAATATTGGGACCCAATGGATACATGCGGCCGCTGAGTGGTGTGGAGGAGCCTCTCGGCGGCCGTTGGCAGTTGTCAGTTGGCACTTTCCGCATGGCTGCGGCGCTGGCTGGCTCCAGGATGCTTTCACCGCCTAGTGTTCATTGTCGGCTCTTCGTACAGCAGTGTTTTCATTTTGACGTCTTCACAGTTGACCCCCCCACATTGCTCACGACCTGGAACCCTTTCCTCCTCCTCCTCCTCCCCCCCCCACCCCAGGTGATCCCCTCCTGAAGTTATGCCGGTACTCGAGGGCTCGAGGCGTGGGGTGTACTCCACTCACGGTGCGGGCTGCGGGCTCTTTGGAGCCTTTCAGGGCCCTATATCTCCGTCGCCGTCGCCCTCTCTCGTCCGCTCGTCCTGCCTACGGCCGACTTCGTTGGGTTCAATCTGTACTTGTAGCCTGGTTGGTGGTTTTGTGTGGTGATTCTTATGCCCTGTAATACCTACTACCACTACTACTACTCTTAAGCCCATTCGGTTGCCATTTCTGTAGCAATCGGCTGGGGCAGGTTCTTTGGTTGTGAAAAAAGGTACAACTTCGCAAACCTTGTGAGAGCAACAATAAGCCCCAAAAGTGCAGTAGGCGGAATGCTGGAACTATGAAGCTGTAGAGTTCGCCCGCTTGCTGGCCAGGGGGGGTGTCGGCGAGGGGGGGATGTGTGGGTCTGTCATTCCTTGTAATTGTATGCTACGTCCAGGCTGGCGGGCATCGAATGAGATTTCGGGGTTATCATAATTCGGGAATCATATGTACGGCAATATATTCTAGGTATCAATGAGTGCACCTGGTACCAACCGTACGGCAGCTGTGAGGTGATACATGGGAGATGTTCCTGGCCGTTGATTGCGTCGTCGTACTTCCGTAATGTCCTTTGTCGATTTTGTGGTGATGCTTTGGATGAGACGTACATGATGTTCAGTTCCGTTCTGTTGTTATGTTTTTGTGGCGGAACGAACTTGACATCCACACCGCTCTGCAGTGCAGTGTGTCTCTATCTCATAGCTCGCTGTTGAATGCCGGAGGCGGAGGGGGGCAGAGAGGACGATGCTGAAACTCATCCCAAAAGCGACGACCGATGACATTGACAATGATCTCTGGAGCACATAATAATAGACTCGGTAAAACCACGCGTGCATGCGAACATCAATAGCATGTAACTTATTTCCCCGTTGCCCGACTACTAGGGGTTCTCAAGCCCCGCCACCGTCCATAGCGCCGCCCAGCTTCAACAAACGAACCAACCTACGCTACCCCAACACATACACACTTACACACACACATACTTACACACATACACACAAACGAACCCGACTCCAGGAAGAAATCACCGAAGCTTCTGCAGCTCATCCAGCTCCTTCGCCCTGGCCACCAGCGCCTGCAGACACCCCTCCAAGCAGCTTTTGAGACCCAGGCGGAAGCGAACGGCCTCGGCCATGTCCCGGGCGCGCAAGTGCGCCGCTGCAGCGCCGGACACCCCCCGCGGCCGCACCACCCAGCCGCCACTGCTCCTTCCACCGCCCTCCCCATCGGCAGTGGCGGTCGTCGTACTGCTGGTGGTTGCCGCGGCAGGGTAGTCGGCTTCCAGGGGTGACAGCGTCGCTGCGGCGGCGGCGGCGGCGGTGTCTAGAGCTGCCGCTGCTAGCAGTTGCCGGTCCTGCAGGAGAGTGCCCCGGGGGGGGGGGAGGAAGGGAGGAGGGGTGACCTCGCCACCTGCCTGTGTGTAATGAATGGCAAACACTCCTGCACGCACAAACAACAAGCAGATCCGTACATTCCGTACAGACAAGACGTACTGTTACACGTATCCCCCGTACATCAGCACTACAGGACTCCTAACGACAGCAACCCGCAGCCGCATTGGTGGATCACCACCTGTTGAATGGTGGTGGGGAAGCCGGAGCTATACAGAGCGGCCACAAGCGCCGCCAGCAGCCGCATCAAGGTGATCTCCTGCGCGTCATAAGGGGGGGGGGCAATGTGTGTGGGGGGGGGGGCCCGGGGGCCCCTCAGACACCGGGGGGGGGCACGGATTGCGTTCTGTTGTGGGGTTGCGATGCTGATGTTGGGAGGTGACCGCCCTCTCTCTGACTTGGGCTGGTCAGTCAGCACTCAGTGGGGGGTAGTTCACCCCGGGGGCCCTATACGTGGCACTGGCGGGCGGGGCACGGTGTGTATGTATGTATGTATGTATGTATGTATGTATGTATGTATGTATGTATGTATGTATGCATGTATGTATGTGTGTGTATGTATGCATGCTACGTACAACACTACACACAACGCCATCCCATGTAACAGAGTTGTACGTCGCTCTGTACGGAGTACGAATAAAGTACCGACAGGTCTCCAGCATACCTGTCTGTCTGTCTGTCTGTCTGTCTATCCCGCTCATTCTGCTACTAACCTGCTGCCGCGCCAGCAGGTTGCCCCAGCCGCCGATCTGATCCACCATCATGGGCGACAGAATCCCGTACCACGTCTTATCCTACCGTACGGCAATGCAGTACAATCCCGAGGGAGAAGGAGGGAGCGTGATGATGTAAGGCGGGTTAGTTTGGAGTTGGCGGTTATGTCGTTGTGAGAGATATCGCCTCACAGGCCGGGCAACGCGGAGCGGGGGTTAGACGTCCCCCTAGGAAAACGAGAGCCGCTGCCACTGCCATTCCCCTGATACTGCGGCTGGTCCCAGGGCGCCCGGCGCAGGGGGGCATTCAGGATTGGGAAAAAAAGGCTGCTGCTGCTGGTGGTGGCGGTGTTGTTGGTGTTGGTGGTGGAGGTGGTGGTGGTGGCGGTGTTGGTGGTGTTGGTGGTG